CCGTTCATCCAAACAAATACGAACCGGTAACAATAAATACTGGCTGTCAAAGTGTAGACATGTTTATCTCGATTGTAGGCTTGATTTAACTCACATTACAACACTTATTTTACTTTAATCTCACTCCTCAGCACCCTGCCCAACAAGGAACATGCAGCCATCAACTGACTGTCAGACAGGTGTTCTGACCAGCAGCTGGGAAGGTGCAGAAGGAGCATTGAGTTACATAGTGGATGTTTATGGTAACAATGATAATCAGAGCCACTATACGTGTAGCTCAGTGACACACAGCTGCACAATCCCTGGCATTCACTGCGGGGAGAGTCTCACCATGTTAATCACCGCTGCCGACGATGAGTGCTCCAGTGTACTGTCTCTGGGAGAAGTAGGCTATACACGTAAGTGACAACGCCCCCTGGTGGACAACAAATATGAACGTGCGCACATTAGACTGTCAGAGCAAAATAAAAAAATAGTTAATTGGTGAAATAGGTGTTACAGTGGATATCATTGTGGCCTCACAACAAGAAGGTCCCTGGTTTTAAATTGTAGAATTAATATGACGAGTAGTTCTTTGATGCTATAAATTATATTTTACTTACTTGCACTAAACTTAAGGCACTGAATTACACCCCCCTCCTTAATTTCAACCACACACCTTCTCCCACAAACCTGTCCTCCAAAGAAATTCAAGCAAACCAGAATGTGTGAAATGAACTGGCCGAGTGTTCTGATGTGCTGGCAGCTCTCAGGTTCATTTTTTTTCAGTTTATGTGACTATTTCCACATGCTTTAAATATTCTTTTGCTGTTGTTTATGTTTTTATTTTACCTAGCCCCCTGTGTACCTCAAAATGTGACCGCAGTGATGGACTGCAGCGCAAATTCCATCAGTTTGAGATGGGAGGCCTCATTGGGTGCTTCATTTTACATTGCCACGGTGGTGGATCGGTTCGGGACTGTTCACACTTGTCAATCAACGGATCCAAATTGCCAGATAACTGGGCTTAGCTGTGGAACCATGTACAGCGCCTATGTGATCGCATCCAACTTCATATGCAACAGCTCCTTCAGCCAAACCATCAGTGTAGAAACAGGTGCACACATGCAGACCAGAGTGCAATTATCTTGATGTCTGACATCTCATAACCAACTCCCTTCGCCCTCTTTCAGCTCCCTGTCCCCCTGGGGATGTACAAGCTCTGCTGGACTGTCAAGAGAACCAGGCGTTGGTGAGCTGGCTCGGATCTCGGGGTATGATATCCTTCACTGCCACCATGGAGGACTCAGTCGGTGGTCTTCTCAGCTGCAGTACCACAGCCAGCAGTTGCCGGATCCCCAACCTGAAGTGCGGCCAAGTTTACGCCATTAGTGTCATTCACCATGATGGAATCTGTCCCAGTATGCCTTCCCAAGCCATACAAATGAAGTCTGGTAAGGGAGCTTTAGTGCTCTTCTCTTCTGTTATAGATTTTTGAAGGTGCCTTCACACTAATAAAAAAACAAACACTGGAGGTCACCAGTCCTAGTAGGTGTTCTTAGTCAACTAGTTGCAATGTTGCAGCGTTTATTATTCACGATTTATCCATGTGCGTCAGTATTTTTAATTATTTTTTAATTCATATTGTTTTTTGACATGAATGGGCTTTACATAAATGTAAACATCACTGCAGGATGGCAGCATAGAATAGATATTGCACATAATGTTGTACAATCAGAAGTAATTCCAACTGTCTGTTCATCAAAGAATCTTGAAAAAAAAAAAATATATATATATATTTCTCCCAAAATGTACTCTTTTCTCATTAATAACAATCAGAAACCCTAATCAAACATACTGGAACCAACTAATCAAAGTCTAGAATATCTAGAAAGATAAAGGCAGACAAGTTTGACCCAGCATTGTGGTTGGAAGCTTTGCATGGACAAGCACCCTCAAAATCTTGTATTTATTTTCTCTTGCTATTAATAACATTAAATACCCTTTTCTTAACCAAATATCTGGCCAGATATCTGAAGAACTTTCAAACTCTTTCTATACCAGATGATGAACTAGATAAAATGATCTCTCCACAGTGCCGTGTGGTCCAACACATGTTGAGGGTGAGGTACAGTGCCTCTCAGGTGTTCTGTCAATGCGCTGGGACAGGACAGAAGATGCTGCAGGTTATATCGCCTCTGTGGTCTCCACGAGCACTAGAGAGCTGGTTTACTGCAACTCTACCTTGCCTGCCTGTAACGTGAGCGATCTTGAGTGTGGTGATGCGTACTCGGTGCAGGTCAGATCGTACAACGGCTCCTGTCTGAGCATGCTGAGTGATCCTTTAGTGATTAGACAAGGTGAGGCGCTGATTCACTCTCAAAACATTAGTTTGATATCATCATTTGACTTCAGAGTGTTAGTCTAATGCTTTCCACCCTGTCCCTCTAGTGCCATGTGCGCCTACTAATGTGACAGCTCAACGGACCTGTGGAAAAAGCTCAGTGGAGGTTTCATGGCTTGCAAGCCGTGGTGCTCAGTCCTATGTTGCTGTGGCTGTGGGTGAAAGCGGGCACCGTACAAGTTGTTTCTCCAACACAACGACATGCAGCATCCTTGACCTGCACTGTAGCAGTGTGTACTCCATCAGCTTGGCGGCTGTAGACGGCAACTGCTCCAGCCTGGAGAGTCAGAGCGTGACCCTGCGCACAGGTGAGGCAGTCTGGGTGGTGGTGTCGGATGTACTAACAAATCTTTCTTTTGAATGATTCTTCTGAACCAGTGTTGTAATTGTAAATTGAAACTAAAACTATTAAAAAGTATCTTGTTAATTTAAAGGTGGGGTATGTGATTTTCTTTTTTGACCATTTTTTAAAAATCACTTGAAATCTTATTCCTAACCCACTTATAGCTACTGACTTCGAAGCGCTGAACTTAAAATTAAGCAATTTAATCATTTGTGGAACGGGCAGAACTCGAAAAACTCCAGCCAATCATTTCCAAGACCACCTAGAATCATTGGACTGTAAGTGCGTCAATCAAACGGTCGTACCATACCCCCCTCCCCAATCCCCCTCTCGCGCATGTCCCCTTCGTGCGCATACTCAAAGCTCGTGACCCAGTCACAGTAAGTGCAAGTCGCCCCGGTACAGACAGAGAGAGAGAGAGTAAGTGCAATCTCGGACATCTGAGTTTTGCAGATGCATGATTCCACATCCATGTTCTTCGAATGGGTGTGGAGTCTAAATCTGCCGACCATTTTGCAAATCCCATACCATACACAATATTATATATATATAGATCTTGATGTAAAGGGCATTTAAAAAAACTGACACTGACTCACTCAAATGTATTAATTTTCTCTTTCCTCTCTTATTCCTGTTTAATAGTTCCCTGCCCACCAACTGACGTCCAGAGTACTGTAAATTGTAGCACCAACTCCGCTACTCTGTCTTGGACCGCCAGTCTTAACGCTGTGTCCTACATGGGGAGGGCATTAGGCAGAGATGGCCACAATGTGACGTGTGATAGCAGAACTCCAGGATGCCAGTTAAACGGCCTGCACTGTGGACAAGAGTATGTGTTTGTCGTAACTGCTTCTGACGGTCTATGTGAAAGTCCAAACAGCGTGGAGTACAGACATGAGACAGGTATCACATTTAAAAAAAGAAGAAGAAAAAAAACTCTGTCTTTATCTTTCTCTTGTTTCTTTCTCTTATCTGGGTTACCCTTGTGAAAAAGAAGTGGCCTCCTACGTGCGTGTCTCGTCATATCTATAAATATAGAAAAGCAACTCCGGCTACTTTGACGTGGTGTCTGTTGTGGGAGTGGCAGAGGTTAGTTGTCACAAAGAGTGGGAAAAGGTTGACATGAAGCAACTAAATCTCAAACCTCCGGGGAATCCCCAGTTTTAAACAAACACCAAACAGAGGAGTGTCTGCTGGCAAAAAGAGAACGTGACAGAGCCCGTAATAAAACCACAATCAACATTGGCTTTGCTTTTCAGATATAGTGAAAAGTGAGGGATTTTAAATATTGTAAAAGTGACATTAGATGATTTTATGATTCAACACATGGGAAAAGTATTTTATCGAACAGGTAAATTGCCATAAATGAGCCATATGAGTTCACTGTAAAGCATTATGTACTGTGGAGGGGGACGAGGAGATGGCGGAACGATGCAGGGAGGCAGAAGAAGAGATGGCAGGACGACTGGATACAGGTGTGGTGAAGACAGGATGGTAAAACGCAGGGATGGAGATGATGGTGCCCATGGCGGACACGAGGGAGGGAGGGATGGAGGGATGGAGGGAGTCCAGGTGGTGACGAGGCTAGCAACAACTGGGGGACGACCGACGGAGGGATGGCCGATGGATCCGCAGGTGCAGACTCGGCGATGCCGCGGCGATGACCATTAAAAGTCGAGCCAGAGTACCTGAGATGGAGGCGATATGATGGAGGACAGAGGTGATGCCGAGGGGAAGGAGGAACCCACTGCAGTTGTAGGGGTGAAGGATGAAGTGCAGCGGATGGACTGCAAGTCCGTGACGGAAGTGGTGTGAAGACTCACCAAGGGGGGGCTGGCAGGATGAGGGAGCCCGGTGGAACCGCAAGTCCGAGGGTCTCCGGTGGAGGTGAATGTGGGAGGAGCCAAGACGAAGCGAAGAGATCGAAGGTGGGAGGCGGAGTCGTAGGATCCTCTCGCACCGATGCTGCTGTTGGTAACAGGACCTGTGGCTTGAGGCTTCCACATAGACGACCCAGGGCTGTTGACATCCGGCAGCGGCTGCGCTGGAGGACTGACTGAGTTCTGGAGTGATGGAGGTGGTTAGGATCTTGACGGAATGATGTGAGTAATACACAGTCTATACAGTCATTTGTACTGTTCAGAAACAGTGAAAATAAAGAAACAGGGTGGGATAGGGTGGGAGTAGTTAATTCCTCACTGAAGTTGATCAGCCAGTCCTCATTCTCCGTATTCATGACTCCCTCGTTGGCTCACACCTCTGGTCAGACTTGCAATGAGGATCCACTTCCGGGTCGAGGATCAGCTGTCCTCTTCTCCTCTGGCTCTTGCTGATGTGTTGCGGCGGTTGGTAGCTCTCCATCTGCAGTGGGCACACACGAGTACTCCACAGTCGAGGGTGAAACAGGCTTTGGGTCTGGCTGTGTTCTGGATCAGGATCCTTAGGGTCTCGTCGTCCAGAGAGCTGGTGGCTCAAGACACAAAGTCCTTCACCAAAGAAAAAAGGTTAGGGCTCTCCTGAGCCAGGACAAATATTCTTACCCTATTGTCCAAAATGGGTGGTCCAATCGTCTGTCATGGTTGGCTTAGATAGGAAGACGAACAGATCAAGATCTATACATCTAGTTTAATGAAGGTTCTCTAAGCAGGCAGGATTAAGGCTAAAGTGTACTTCTTTCTCACAAGGGAAAACTGTTGAAACTGTAACATTATGTTAAGTCTCTCTCTCTCTCTCCTCATGCGTTGTTTTCCAGCACCGTGTGCCCCTCAGAATGTGTCCAGATTCCTAGACTGCGCCTCTAACAGCCTGAACGTGAGCTGGGATCTTGGTCTCCAGGCTCTAAACTACACCGTCCTCGCCAGGACTACAGGTGGCGCTGTGCTCAGCTGTACCACAACGACCTCCAGTTGTATCGTCACTGGCCTGCAGTGCGGTCAGAACTACACCGCGGTCATCACAGCAAACAATGGAGAGTGTCAAGGGCCAGAGAGCGTAACCCGTCCCATCCAAACAGGTGAGATCAGATCACAAAATGACAGAAGAGCAAAACCTTCCAAATCATCTTTCACCCCTCAAAATATAAGAAATAAATGACATATAAGAAATCCTCCCTGTCTGTCTTCTGGCAGTGCCGTGCATTCCCACATCGGTCCGCGCCAACGTGGAGTGTGCGAGTAACACGGTGAAGGCATCATGGGGTCCAGCAGCGGGAGCTTTATCCTACATCAGTGTTCTGACCGGCCCGGGCTATTACAGAGAATCCTGCATGACCTCTGACCTCTCCTGCTCCTTCAGGGGCCTGACCTGTGCGCAGACTTACACCCTAAACGTCATCTCTCAAGACAGCCAATGCAACAGCTTAGTCAGTCCCAACGTCTCTGTGACAACAGGTAGGAATTACAATCCGTTTGACTTTGACATGAACTGTCTTGCTCTCTACTGCCTACATAGGCAGCTGCCTTCTAAGTAGTTAAACTCATAAGTAAGAGATTTGATGCTCACAGTTGACTCTGGTGTAGTTTGTCATTAGTACATTCAATGCTCCAACAGTCTAAAATTAAAAGACATCACACACTTGCCGACTTTGTAAATGGTAACAGAGAAAAACTGGGCATCATTACACACTTCCAGATCATTTCGAACACAACAAACTCATTGCTAAGAGATGCATGAATGAAACAAACATGGATGTGCAGGAGATGACCAGTAGTCATTGTTGCGAATAAATGAGCCATGCGCTTTTGGATGCGATAGACACGGCCAGTATAGACTCTATAGATTACAACGGGATGGGAATTAGAGGTGATAGAGGTGAAATATTGAGGCTAATTTGTTAATCGTGCTCTGTTTACTTGTGTATTGTTTTTGTATTTGAATTGTTATTGCAACACTGGCAGATAGGGAACAGCTTCAGTTTCAGCACACGACTCATCATCATACACCACGATATGTGTTCTGAGTTCCGATCGGATGGAATCATAGTCTGAAGCAAAAAAATGATGGCTGTGTGCCCATCATACACTGTGTGGTTTTCCGTGAAACCTGTCAACAAAAATCGTGTATCATGCAAAAATAAGTGTATTCCAGCCTTGACCCGCTAGTCAAAGAAGAGTCAAATATTACTTTTAAATTTGAGAACTCGATTTTAAAGAATCTTCGATTGCACCCATGTCGAGTAAATGACAAAATACTGGAAGTGGTGCATACCACAGACGAGTATCCATGAACTGCATTATTAGACAGTTTTTTTAGACCGTTTTCTAAGGCTGCACGATGTTAAAATCACTTAAACAGTTATTTTAAAGACTTAGGCCTTTTCTTGTAGGTCTATTTTTATTACCCCAAAAATATCAGATTACTCGATTAATCGTCAAAAAAAATCTACCGGTTACTCGATTACCAAAATTATCATTAGTGACAAACAGCCGTTCAGATTTCTGTATTCGTTATGGTTTTTGTCAAACACCAGAGACAAGAGAGCGGCTTCCGGATTCTTCCTCCATTATTTACTGTTGCTTATTTACTGCAGTTTGTTAGCGCCACCAAGTCGTAGTTTCATGTATAGCAGCAGCGTCTCTGAACATGTGACCAAAAGCACAAATTTTACTGGTTGGCTAGTTTCCATGTAAAAGAGGTAAAAACAGCCGTTCATTTAAATATACTTGTTTATTGCATCAAATTTCCACACCGAATATTCTTCTTGGTGTGAACAGGCCTTTAATAACTAAGCTTTAAAATACATTAAAATATTAAAAATCAAATTTGAAACTAAAAGTTGTATGTTAGCCATCGGCATGTTGGTAAAGCTAACGATGCAATAGTTAGTAATTAATTATATTGATCTATTTTTACAGATACTTTCTGGCAGTTTAGATATTTTTTTCATTCTTGTGTTGTCTTCTCTGGCAAGGATACAGGCAACACCGCCTTTGAATTTGACCAAAAGATGCTTAGAAGGCAACATCATTATACAGCATAAAATGTTTAGGCAGGCAGAAATAAAGCTTTGGAATAACCTTTGACCTTTTCCAGCTCCCTGTGACCCTGAGAGCGTGACTGCAGTGCTCAACTGTGACGCGCGTACGGTGAATGTGTCTTGGCATGCTGGCGCTGGTGCCACCAGGTACACCGTTCTGGCACAAACACAGAATCAGAGCGTTCCTTCCACTTCCTGTCGTTCATCGGCCACTTCCTGTGAGCTCACGCAGCTCCAGTGTGGGGAGGTTTTCAATGTCACAGTGTTTTCTGATAATGGAGCCTGCAACAGCTCAGCACGGGCCAGCACTACACTGGAGACGGGTATGAAGAGTTTAGAGTCCAGTTTAGAGCGGTTAACTACATTTGATTTAGCCTAATACTGACTTACTCTCCCTTCGTTTCTTTTCCCATGTATTGTCTCAGCACCATGTCCTCCGACAATGAGGTCTCCTCCTTCACTGAATTGCAGAACTAATATGGCCCTGGTGTCTTGGGCGGAGGACCCAGATGCTGTGAGGGTCCGTGTCAATGCCACCTCTGTCCTGGGACACACTGCCACCTGCACCTCTTCTGGAAACAACTGTTCCCTGGCTGCCTTACTGTGTGGCCAGACGTACAGTGTGTATGGGACGGCCCAGGGCTCTCAGTGTGAGAGCACACCTAGTGCTCCCTTGAGTATTATCACAGGTAAATACACATATTCATCATTCAGCACTACATGAGTCTGATATTTCACAACTGCATGTACTGTATGGTGGTTCATTCTAGCAGAAGTTCCCAAACAGCTGAAATAGACTTAGCACTTTTAAATTCTGCATCATTTGGCCCACTTTTCTTCTAGGGATTAAAAGGGGTTCAAAGGACGACATTTTTTTTTTTTTGCAGAGCTTAATAGAAAATCAGAACTCTATAGTCATGCTTTTTCTCTTGTGTAAATCTATAGATCTATACCTACAGAGTATTGTCACGGAATGGTAAAATAGTAAAGCGAGGAGTCAAGTGCTGAAATAGAGGGATCTTTAATTAATAATAAAAAGGAAACCAAACTACAGACAAAAACTCCCCGTCGGGGAAAACGAGACAGACATCTGGCAGGAACAAGAAACACAGGGAGATTAAATAGGGGAACAAACATAAGAGGGTAACGAGGCAGGCAGATGGGGGAAATAAAACAATAATGAGATGAGATGGGCGGGGTTTGACAATTAACAGGAGACCACATGGCACAAGGAAATAATATGACAGCCATGTGCTCACAACAAACCAGACTAAACAAACACATGACAAACCGGGACTGTCACAGCTCTGTCACTAAATCAAGAGAAAACCCTTACAAGGGTGACAGAACTGTAACACTACCAAGTTCCCCTGTGACTTGACGTGAACCGTCTCTGGATCGGCAGATGTGACGTGAACAGTCTCTGTATCGGCAGACGTGACTTGAACAGTCTCTGGACCGGCAGATGTGACTTGATCCGTCTCTGGATCGGCAGACGTGACGTGAACCGTCTCTGGATCGGCAGACGTGATGTGAACAGTCTCTGGATCGGCAGACGTGACTTGAACAGTCTCTGGATCGGCAGACGTGACTTGAACAGTCTCTGGATCGGCAGACGTGACTTGAACAGTCTCTGGATCGGCAGACGTGACTTGAACAGTCTCTGTATCGGCAGACGTGATGTGAACAGTCTCTGGATCGGCAGACGTGACTTGAACAGTCTCTGGATCGGCAGACGTGACTTGAACAGTCTCTGGATCGGCAGACGTGACTTGAACAGTCTCTGTATCGGCAGACGTGATGTGAACAGTCTCTGGATCGGCAGACGTGACTTGAACTGTCTCTGGATCGGCAGACGTGACTTGAACAGTCTCTGGATCGGCAGACGTGATGTGAACCGTCTCTGGATCGGCAGACGTGACGTGAATCGTCTCTGGATCGACAGACGTGATGTGAATCGTCTCTGGATCGGCAGACGTGACGTGAATCGTCTCTGGATCGACAGACGTGATGTGAATCGTCTCTGGATCGACAGACGTGACGTGAACTGTCTCTGGATCGGCAGACGTGACGTGAACTGTCTCTGGATCGGCAGACGTGATGTGAATCGTCTCTGGATCGACAGACGTGACGTGAACTGTCTCTGGATCGGCAGACGTGACGTGAACTGTCTCTGGATCGGCAGACGTGATGTGAATCGTCTCTGGATCGGCAGACGTGACGTGAACTGTCTCTGGATTGGCAGACGTGATGTGAACCATCTCTGGATCGGCAGACGTGACGTGAACCGTCTATGGATCGGCAGACTTGATGTGAACCGTCTCTGGATCGGCAGACGTGACGTGCTGTGGCGGCCACGGCAAGACAAGGAGCTTGAGCGGCACCGTCAGGGCAAGGCACCTGGGTGGCGCCGGCAGGGCGAGACGCTTGCGCTCATACTGAGGGCGGGAAACAGGGGTGGCCTGTGGCTTGTGTAAATTCTTATTCTGTACTGAATCCTCATGTGGCTGGTTCGTTCTGTCACGGAATGGTAAAATAGTAAAGAGAGGATTCAAGTGCTGGAATAGAAGGATCTTTAATTAATAATAAAAAGGAAACCAAACTACGAACAAAAACTCCCTGTGTAGGAAAACGAGACAGACATCTGACAGGAACAGGAAACATTAGAAACATAGACAACGAACCAGCACAGGACTGCAAACACAGGGAGATTAAATAGGGGGACATGCATGAGAGGGTAACGAGGCGGGCAGGTGGGGGAAATAAAACAATAATGAGATAACAAGATAGGCGGGTTTGACAATTAACAGGAGACCACATGGCACAAGCAAAAAAAAAAAACATTACAGCCATGTGCTCACAACAAACCAGACTAAAGAAACACATGACAAACCGGGAGTGTTACAGCTCTGTCACTAAACCAAGAGAAAACCCAGACAAGGGTGACAGAACTGTAAAGAACAAGTATTTCTTACTTATTAAAATATCTGAGACATTAACTTGAACATATAGCTGACAATACGTCAAATATATGAAATCATTTTGTTTAACTTTATTTTAAGGTGCCCTTATTACAGTGTAATTACACAATTATGTACTGAGTAATTTACTGTTATAACTACAATATGTAAGTAGGTACATGCAACATGCAACAAGGGTACTGTAAAATAAAGTGTTCCCATAGTATTTAAAATATTACAGTGTTTGAATGGCTGATACCCATGTACAATATTTACATATTTTATTTAATGACAAATTAATTGAAAATTAAATTGAAAGTCAACTGTCTACTATGGAAGCTTGTTTCTGCCACAGAATAATAATAACATGCAAGATATAAACTTGCAATTGCGAGGGACAAAGTTTACATCTTGCAAAAAATCTTGCAACTTTATAACTCGCAGTTGAGAATTGTGACATAAAAAGTCACAACTAACTTTTAATTGTTTTATTGCGTGACGGAAACAAGCTTCTATAGGCTTGCATTATGGACAGACTTATAAATCAGCCAGGCTGTCACGATTCCGGTCTTGTGTTTTCCTTGTCTTGTGTGGACTTAAGTTATTTCCTGTTTCTGTGCCATGTTTTGTAGTCCTTTGTAGTCTTTCTTGTTTAATAAGTTTTCCCAGGTGTTTCTGATTTACCACGCCCCCTTGTTCCCTCGTTTAGCTTGTTTGTCTGTGTATTTAAACCCCTGTGTTTCAGTTGTTGGGTGTCGGTCGATGTTTCACTGTAGCGTTGTTTTGAGTTCTTGTTTCTGAGTTGTGTTCTGAGTTCCTGTTTCGAAGTTTCTTTGTCTTCCGTGGATTTCCCTTTTTGTTTGTTTATTATTATTATTAAAACTGTTTTCTGCATTTGGATTCCTCCTTGCTTCCTCATCGTTACACAGGCCAATTTAGTCTTTAATATTCTTGTCTAAACGTAAACATGTAGAGGTGAGTGAAACTGCTGTTCTGCTTCTGTTTGCCAGCGCCCTGCAGCCCTGCTGAAGTGAGCGCCAACTACAGCTGCGGCACCAGCACGGCTCTGCTGAGCTGGGCCGAGAGTCTGGGCCGAGAGAGCTTCTATGTGCGTGTGGAGAGCAGCGCTCACTCAGACTCCTGCAGCACAGCCCAAACCCACTGCTCCATCAACTCGCTGAGATGCGGGAATCTTTATAATGTCTCGGTGGATTCAGTGTCTGGACGCTGCAACAGCAGCAACGCGGCTCACACACAACTGCAGACAGGTATAAACACACAAGACCCATAAACACACCACTCATGCAGGATTTACCTGAAAGTTACTTGCACCAACAATGTATTTATTTTTTCATCACCATCTAACCCCTCTTTTTTGCTGCTGTACATTTCTTTGAATGTTCTCTTATTGCATATTTAAAAAAAATGCAAATACTCTATAGATGCTGTTTTGAAAAAATACTTGATGGAAGACAATAATGGCACTTCTCTATCTCTCAGCCCCCTGTGCCCCACAGAATGTGACCGTAAGACTACAGTGTTCGAACAACACTGCCTTTGTGTCCTGGGAGGGCAGTCCTGGAGCCGTGGCCTATAACGTCACTGCTGTTGGGCGCGATGGTGATGTCAGGAACAGTGTCGTCACTGGCACCAGCTGTCAACTACCCAACATGCACTGCTCTCAGACCTATGACATTGTAATCATACCGTTCTCTGAAACGTGTGCTGGGTTCCCAACCACTCCCTACACTTTCAGTGCAGGTGTGTATTAACAGTTTGGTACAAAACTGAAACCTTTTACCTTTTAAGGTATGCCCAACTGTGAGGTTGTATTTGCTAATCATCTGAAGGCTTTTAACAGTTGTGGACCCTATCTGGTTCCTGTTACAAAAGGGACTTAAGTTTAGTAACCATGAATTTGTTACTTTGGGGACTAAGAAACCAATTTCTTCCCTAAAACCCCCCTTCAGGTTCTTGTCCTCCCAGTAGCGTTGAAGTTTCTCTACAATGCCGAGGTAATGTGGGACTTGTCAACTGGACTGCCGCCAAGAGTGCTGAAATGTACATTGCCACGGCAAAGGGTTTAAATGGCCACACCCACACTTGCTCCTCCAATGGCACCAGCTGCGCTTTCAGTGACCTTCACTGCGGGGAGAACTACACCGTTACTGTGTCTACGGTGGAACGGGGCTGCCAGAGTCAACCCAGCACACCTGTCAACCTGAGATCAGGTCAGGACACTGGAAACACAGTTTCAGAGAATTTGTCTTGCCCTTGTTTTCAAACATAGGCATTACACACAAGCGGAACATGTCTTAGCAATTTAACGTCTAACTCGTGTTTGATTTTGACGCAATTCCTCTTTCTTCTAGCTATCTGCCCACCTTCCAATCTGTCCGGTCTTACCAACTGCGCTACTAATGACATCAGCATCACATGGGACCCCAGCACAGAATCTGGATCCACTTACTTCCTGTTCATCCTTCAGGTGAATGGGCTGAACTCCACCACCAGCACAGTGCAAACGTCCCACGCTCTGACAGGGTTGCGCTGTGGAATGAGCTTCATTGCACAAGTGGCTGCTCAGGACAGCACCTGCACCAGTCCGTACGGAAGCCCAACACAGCTCTACACAGGTACAAATGTCAAACATTTCAACACAGCATTGGTCTACGGACTGTTTATCATCAGATAATGAATAATGTATAGTAATTCAGATATTACGGCAACATAATCCCCAGACAGGATGATCAGGGTCTTGAAGGGGTTTATTTTGTGCTAATGACTATCTGATTGTACATTATCCTGCTTTTTACATGGATACGAACCAAAAATGGTAAAATGATTTCAGATTTTTTTAATGAGACATTTCACTATCAGAGGTTCCGGGAGGCTCCCGCATATTGATAACGGCTCCCTGATGCCCGCAAATTAGTTAGTGAGCAAGAGCACGCATGCAAGACGGATCAGACTGTGCTCCAAACCGTATAGTGCGCGCTTGAGGGAGAGAGCGAGCGCCTCATGACAGAGACTCAGGCACCGAAATTGTCGTTCTTATTCGGTCTGGTTATAACCATTTATGTCACAACCGATTCCCTATTGGCAACCCAACCCTAGTTCGGTACCAGGGGCGCAACTGCCCAGTTTCAGAGGGGTATGCAGCAACAATTTTAGCGCCCCCCCCCCCCCCAAAAAAAAAAAGGAATAATAAATGTAATGTAAGTGTGCCGTGTAATAAGTGGAACAAATGAGAGCGATCAGATAAAATAAGTGCAAAATTATAGCTACTCCACCTTGATGAACCCCCCTAAGAAAACTATAAGCTCCATTGGAACAGCAATACAAGTGTTTCTCACAGGATTTTAGTTAAAACTGTAGTAGGTGGACCTCTGTTTCTCTAGGGGGGTTCGGGGGCATGCACCCCAGTAAGAAAATTTTGTGTTCTGTAATGTTAAATTCAGCAGTCTGGTGCACTTTGAGAGTTCAAAATAAAAAGCTCCAACCCATATTCAGGGTACAAATTAAACAAAGATAAAATTGAACCTCTTTTAGTTAGTGTCTGTCTACATTACACTGCTACATAATAATAGTTATAATATTAATCCCATTATAGTAATAGCCAAAGGCTATTGTAAAACAAATGCACTGAATGCACTGAATCTTTCATAATTAGTTTTGCACTAATTTCTATACTTGAAAGATATAAGCGCATAAATTATAATGACATGTTTCATGGGCCAGTGTGTTAGAAAAAAAACTAAAGCTGACTTTTTTTGACCAATGCATTACAACAGCACGGCGCCACCAATTAGGCAAAAAAAACAACAACAACAACAAACAAATGGGCCACCGATGTATGAGTTGTGTGGGCCGTTAAGACAAATAAATAAAAAAAGGATGAGAAGTATCAGCTGAAAAAGCCATAGACCGTAAAAGAAAAGCACGTCGGACCAGCGGGAATCTCCCGGTAGTCCCGATGGCCACCGAGATATAGCCTATGCCAGGATGTCACATTTTAAATCCTACCTGTTGGCTTTCAGCAATGCATGCAGTTATTTAGCTGCTGTCGCATCAATTGACATGCCATCCCCTTTTCTCTCTTTCTTTTTCTATTTTTAGCCCCACAGCATTTTGTTTTATCCATCTTTTTCGACGACAACTCTACTCGTACCTGCTTGCTCAGCGCTCACGGCGCCCCCGCCCGCTCGCGATATTACCCACCCCCCTTCTCCATGAGGGCGCCTACTCTAGCCTGGCTGTTAGTCCTCTAAAATTTTATATAACATTGAAGGAATGCAGAAATGATCTAGAAACGCACAACAGCAGCTACATATAGAAATGCAATATAGCCTATATATATTTTTTAATTTTTAATTCACCATCGCTTTGGCGCCCCCCATTGTGCATGCGCCCCTATGCGCCGCATATAGCGCATACCCACTTTTTGCGCCACTGTTCGGTACCCAACCCTATCCAGAATTCATCCGTCTGCGTATTCAGAAAGTATCCATATTTTCAAAAAGTTTCTGCCGGTGAAATGAATCGCACTGGCACTGATATGTGATTGGTCTGTTAGCGCATTAGGCCCAACCCCCTATGGGTGGGTTTGAAAGGGTGGGAACTAGTGCTTGTAGTCTTTACAGAAATCCCCCACTTTCACACTTCCTCCTACAATGACGTAAAATGACGATTTTTGTGTTATTGTAGAAGGAAGTGAAAAGGTAAATAGCAGATTTCTCACGTCTCAGGGGAAAATGAGGGAGTGCTGCACAACCATTGAATAGTATGACTGTGTTTCTATCAATGGAAATCTTAATGCCAATGGGTGGAGTGTCTCTTTATAACGTCATGACAGAGCATTAAAGTCGACTAGCCTGTGCAACCCCTACCACCAAGTGAGCCTACTTTCCTTAAAAGGGACTTGGTTTAGGGTTAGGAACCCACGTTATGCCACCAACGGCTGCGGGATTTTCTGAATCCTAATGAAGGAAAGGAATGCAATGTTAAATATGGTGTGTTGAAAACGTGTATTGATCTAAATCTCATTCATTGATCCACAGCTCCCTGTCCACCCAGTAGCCTGGCAGCTTCTGCCAGCTGTGGCACAAACATGGGCACCGTCAGCTGGCAGACTGGAGCAGGGGCGCAATCCTATACTGCCAATTTAGAGGGAAACAACGGACAAAGGGTTTCCTGTACGTCCAACACCACTTCCTGTTCTGTGAAGCTCGAGTGTGGGCGTAGATATACGGCCACTGTGGTTTCCACGGTTGGCTTCTGCAACAGCCCCGCTAACAACAGCATCCAGTTTGACTCGGGTAATTTAAAACATTAATCTACAATCAAACTGGAACTGCTTTTTTTTTTTAAAGCAGATTTTGTTGGGCAAACTTGGCAAAATCTGTAAACCATTTTCCTCTTTGTTTTACCCATGTGTTTCGCAGCACTGTGCCTGCCAGGGAACGTGACGGCTCGGTTAGATTGTAACGCTAACACGGCAGCTGTACATTGGGACCCCAGTGCAAACAGCCCTGACTCCTATACAGCCCTGGCCATTGGTACGGATGGCACTCGGGTTTCCTGTAACACAAGCTCAACTTCCTGTACCATTCAGAACCTGAGATGTGGCCGCACCTATAGCATCGCGGTGACAACATCCCAAATTAACTGTGGAATCATTGAGGGTTCAGACTACCACATCGAGACAGGTAAACTGGCTAGATTAATCCTAACAATTCTAAACCAACTCCAAACCAAAGAGTCTGAATTACAGTAGCCCTCCATCATTTGTATCCCATCAGCCCCCTGCCAACCACAGAGACCATTTGTTCTAATGCAGTGCAGCACTAACATTGCTACGGTAACATGGGACAACAATGGGGCGGATCAGATTGACGTGGTGACGGCGCTCAACTTTAGCGGCGATGCGGCGGTGTGCAACAGCACAAAGAGATCCTGCACATTCACACAGCTGCACTGCGGAGAGTCGTACACACTCAGTGTGGTTGGGTTTCATGGAAACTGCACCAGTGGACCCAGCGAGAACTTCGGCCTTGACACAGGTGAGACAAAGCTGCACACAGGTTAGGGATAACCTTAGCCTGAGATTGATATAGCTGATAGAATAACTGATAATAAAGCAGTTTTGAGGAATCTTCCTCAAAAACATAATAAAGATAAAGAGTTTGTTATCAGTCCAAATCTTTCTACTATTTAGTGGACACACATTAGCCACATACCTTTGGCTATACTGCTTCATGAAAAAAAGATCTTTTTTCTGCCCATGTTTGTGGCTTTCCTAACACACACTGCTGTCCCTCTCAGCTCCCTGTGTTCCAACTCACGTTGTGGCGACCACAGACTGCGAGACGTCCATCACTGCTGTAACCTGGGATTCGGCACGGGGTGCCAGCTATTACACTGTTCATGCCGTGAGCGCCTGGGCGAACAATCGCACATGTACCAACACAGATACAACCTGCTCTTTCTCAGACCTGGACTGTGGACAAAACTACACCATAACCGTCACAGCTGAGGATGGCAACTGTGTTAGCCTGGCCAGTGCACCCATCACTGTCACAACAGGTATTGGTCACTTGTCTTTGACCATGTCTTTCTTTCCTCAGTCGAAAAGAAATTAAGGTTTTTGATGAAAACATTCCAGGATTTTCTCGATATAATGCACTTTACTGGGCACCAAATGGTTCAAAGTCCAAAAGACAGTTTCAGTGCGAATCAATTTGTTCAAATGACTCAAAAAAAGATTAGCTCGTCTTGATGAACGAGTTTGAACAGGAGAGTCACGAACGCTCATCACAGAACAGAGCAAGGCGAGCATTTGATCTTATAAAACTTAGACTTTGTTATTTATTTATTTGAGCGATGGTTTCGCTTAATAAGACCCTTATTCATCGTCTGGAGTCGTTTAAAGCCCTTTGAACAGTTTGCACTGAAACTGTCTTTTGGACCTTGAACCGTTTGGTTCCCATTGAAGTCCATTATATGGAGAAAATCCTGGAATGTTTTCATCAAAAACCTTAATTTCTTTTCGACTGAAGAAAGAAAGACATGGACATCTTGGATGACATGGGGGTGAGTAAATTATCAGCAAAAGTTTTTTTTAAAGTGAACTACTCCTTTAACAAAGTAACAGCTGAGTGCACATTTCAAAACTAGTCATTATACCGCAATGAACATTTAAAAGTAGGGTGCTACATGGAAATGTCACAGCGCAGCTAACAAAACTACTATCTGTTTGTATCCCCCTTTACTAGTCCCATGTCCACACACCAATCTGCAGTCATCTCTGGACTGCAGCACCGACACTGCTCTGATCTCATGGACGCCGGGTAGAGGCACTCTGATGTATAACGTTTCCGCCAACGGCTTTGACGTAGATCACGAAGTCAGCTGCCATACATCTGGCTCCGCCTGCAATATCACCAACCTGTACTGTGGCAGCCGCTACCAAGTTAGTGTGAGCGGAGAAGGGCTCACCTGCCACAGCCAGTCATATTACTGGATTGCTCTCAATTCAGGTAACAACCTCATAAGTCACTAGTTAATTGCTAGTTGCAATGTTTATGTTGCTTGTGTATGGTTCATCAGCGTTCTGTTCTAAAGAACAAGGGTTGTCAGCTATACTTTCAGCTCAATTAAAAAAATGACTCAGCCTCTCAAATAACTTTTCTTATTTCTTATGATGACATCAGCATGGCCATGTGGGCTGTTGGTTTAAGTAATTGGTAACACTTTATTTTACAGTCTCATTGTTGCGTTACATGTAGTAACCATAGTAATAAAGGGTACTCCACTTTTTTTTTTTTTTTTTGGAAATAGGCTCATTTTACAACTCCCCCAGAGTTAAACAGTTGAGTTTGACCATTTTTGAATCCATTCAGCCGATTTTCTGATATTTAGACGAATATCAGTAACCAGACAGTTTTTGGTCTCATTGACTTCCATAATAGGAAAAAATATATACTATAGTAGTCAATGAGACCAGAAACTGTCTCGTTACTGATATTCTTCTAAATATCAGAAAATCGGCTGAATGGATTCGAAAACGATAAAACCCAACTGTTTTTTTTTGTTTGTTTGTTTTTTTGATATTTAAATGTTTGGTTTATTTATTTATTAATTTTTTTATTTGCATTATGTACAGAACAAGACAGGGAACAAACAAAACTGTAAGACACTTCCATTTAGATCAAAACCCAACTGTTTAACTCTGGGGAAGTTGTAAAATGAGCCTATTTCCAAAAAAAGTGGAGTATCCCTTTAATCCTAAACCAAACCCTAATCCTAACCCTATAGTAAGTACGTGTAGTACTTAATATTACTCAATAGTTAAATGTAATAAAGACATCTTAAAATAAAATGTAACCAAGTAATTTTTGTTGAACCTGTTTCACTCAAAAATATGCCATATTGCAGAAATTAATTGGATTGCCAATTCCATTTTGATTCTATACTTCATATAAAATGTTGCCATTACTGATTCGCATGTTCTTTTGCTTCTTCAGCACCATGTCCACCCACTAACGTGTCCATCCAGTCATCCTGTGACTCGAACACCGTGTCCGTTTCTTGGGAAGCCTCTCAAGGCACTGTGTCCTACACGGCTGTTGCCGAGGGCAGCGGAGGTCATAGGGTGACCTGCGACACCACCCAACAGACCTGCAATATTATCGGCCTGCAGTGTGGACAGACTTACCAAATTTATGTTGCTGGAGTGGATGGTGGCTGTATTGGATCTAGGAGTGAAGTTCACATTCTTGAAACAGGTGAGACTTAAAGTCTCTTTTTGACACCCATTTGCAATATATAATGCATCTAAAGATCTCCCAGAACACCCAAGACACCCTAACACAGGTACAACTCAACGTATAAATCACCTTCTGCTGTCAGTGGTCTTAAAGGACTATATTAAAGGCCACTATACACCAAGCCCATGATCAGACAGAGTCAGGCCATTGTTGAGCCCAGTTTTTGTGGTGTGATCCACACCGTTGGCACTAGAAGTTGATGACTTTTTGGCCACTAAAACAGATCACTCTGATTGGCTGTTCAGTTTAGGAAACTGAGGCCCTGTTTACTCCTGGTATTAAGATGTGTTTTGGTTGATCGGATCACAAGTAGACGAAAGAGACACATTTATACCTATTTATGTTGTGCCCCTGTTAAAAGGGAAATAGAAAGATATGACACGGACACGATGTGGCTTCAGTCAAGTCCAATGTTGTAATGCATTTACCATGAACAGCATAATATATATTTACTCAGTATCACATTTAACGATGTAATTTTCTCTTTACACGACATAATAATGTCCCTCTAAGAATTACACAATAAAGAAAAACATCAGCTGGTCAGTAATGACTCCTTATTACAAAATATCTGAGTCAATCTTTAAAGTTAGTTACCCAAAAATATATCAAAGCATTTTTACAGCATCTTAAAACAACATTAGCACCACGCTTTTAATCTCGGGCCATGTGACATAGTTAGCATACAGGCAACACTGGATCAACACTTCACGGTTAGCCTGCTAAATGTGCAATTACTATAAACTATAAATGTACTCCCTACATGTTCCCTATGGTATTAGACACTTATATAAATCGTTCAAACATATTACAGCCCACTTTCTTACCTGTTAAAAGGGAAATAGAAAGATATGACACGGACACGATGTGGCTTCAGTCAAGTCCAATGTTGTAATGGACGAATGTAAGCCGCGCGTTCCGTACACAGGCTGAACAAGGCATAAGCAATTGTTCACAGATCCTCTGATCACAAACCGGAACTTAAACTTACAGCAAAAGAAAGTGAAACGTATATAAACAAGCAAACACAGCATATTGTGAATTAAAGTACACTACCCAAAAATGTTATAGAAGTTAAATAAGCATTTTAAACACATATTGTCTTTTTTTATCCTATTTAGCTCCTAGACTCACAAAGCAATGGATCACTGATCTACCGATCATACATGTACTTTCCCCTCTCGTTTTATAAAGAAATGAATTAAAATATTTTAACCAAACAGTGCAGCAATGCAATGACTTAAACATTTTAACTTTAACCTTAAGATATAAAATAAAGATTTTTAACTTGCACCTTTTTTATAAACAATATTATTTATCTTTTAACTTGCATCAACCCATTCAATGTATCATTACTACATCAATTTTATCATCCTTACATTTACACCTGCTCATGTCCACTTTCTACGACTTCTGTGCGGGTTTCTTTGAGGAGAGGGTTTATGGGCAGTTAAAAGTATGGGCTTTCTCAGATCTTTCGATGTAATGGATAAAGTAAGCTTGAGCAATTTTCATATGAATGCGCCTGGAGACGACGGAAAAAACATATGAAGAGCAGCTGCTTTCGTTTTTCGTGTTGTGTTTTTCATCTTCAAACCAAGCCAAAGTCTAACCAAGCCTCCAGTCTGGCTTGCACATTTCAATTCAATTCAATTCAATTCAATTCAAACAACTTTATTTATCCCCATAGGGCAATTCAGTTTTAGCCTTTCAGTCATTTAAAACAAGACAAGAAGACAACAATCAATCAAGCATTCAGAAACACTGTCAGTGACATCATATTGCATTGCATATTACTTCCCATAGTGTTTACGCATTAGGTCAGAAGGTGGAGAGACGACAGTCTTTTGTATCTATTCGAACACATTTGACCACATGAGTGTTTACACTACGAAAGCAATAAGGTTGAATGCATTTTCGACTACCTCTGGAAGTCGTCGAAAGTGGACAAGCTCAAAACTATTTAGACCCCATATACACAGCAAAATCCCACCAACACCACCAGATCACCTTTTCTATTTGTTCATCTGGCTGTTATACTGTAACTCACATACAGCAGCCAAACAAAATCTAAAGTTAATGAATTAAGGGTCAAGAGCTTAACTAAACCAAACACCGATCACCATAATGGCGTAAAAATTACGGTTTTCCTCTTCAGAAATTCTGCTTGTTAACTTCAGGTGTCTTTAATCGTTACTCAGTTAAATCAGTTATCAGTGTTCTTTAACATTCTGCTCAGAGTTGATATAATCAGAGAATGTCTAATTGAAGAGAATTGGCACTGGGGTTACTTCCGGTTTCTGGACTGGCTGCAGTAACACGTCTCTGTCCATGCGGGGGCGCTCGCGGTCGAGTGCAGAATAAATGGGAGTCAATGGGGTTTCACCCCCAGAAATCCACTTTTGTCAGGATGTAATTTCTTGTCAAGTAATTTGAAAGTTGCATTGAAAAGGGAGGGCTAAAATAACACACTCAGCTGAAAATTGCATTTTTAAGTTCACTTATCTGTTCTAAAAATCCGTTCAAATTTGTGATGACGTCACACAATAGCAGAATGCTAGCGTGTTCAGGCCAACAACAGCCTAACCTGTAAGAAATCAAAAGGACATAAGTACTCGTTCATTCGACTTTTGGCCTATAATCTATTTTGAACTTGCGGAATCAACAACAAAATCTATTTTGATTTAACGACAAGCAGGTGAAAGAGACACTTTTAGCCGTTTAGCCCTATAGACTCCCATTCATTCTGCTCTCGCCCGCGATCACCTCCAGTGGAATTCAAATGGAACTGCAACCAAGGTGATACACAACGGGGCTCATAGGAAGTGCCAAGGCTCTCCGTTAGACGGGCTCTGATGTAATTCACACTTTTAAGTGTTAATTTAACTAGGGATTTTGCTATATTTAGAGTCATCGGTTGCGATCCGATCAAACAAAATGCATCTTAGTACCAGGTGTAAATGGCCTGAGAAGCAAAACAAACTTGACTAAAGCAAGAAAACGACAAGTCAAGAGGGCACACAAGACGGCTTTTATGGTTTCCCTTTAAATGACAACTATAGACTACTGACACCTGCTGGTATGGAGAGTTATTTCATCTCGCACGGGCGCAGAATGTACGTCCTAGTTGGCTGTAGTGTTTGCGGTGTGTTTGGCCCAGACACAACGAACGTGATGCGACACTGCAGTCAGCTTTAAACGCTGCCAGTTCTGGATGTCGGTTTGATATGACTGGACTTCTATGTGGGTGGTCCACTTGTAGTGACCTTCAGTGTTGTGCAAGTTACTTCCAAACTGTAATACATTAGGTATTACTTGTTACTGTTATTTAAAAGTAATTCATTACCTTACAATATTACTGTCTCAGAATTGTAATGCGTTACATTACTCATGTATTACTTTTGAATTACTTTCACCAAAATAACTAAGTAGAACTTAACTTTGGGGCTGTAACGATATGCAATATGAAACCGAAATCGCGATTCGCCACACGACTCAGATCCACGAACCTATAGAATCGCGACACACCTCTTCCAACTCCCAGCATTATTCTCCTTACCGTCCAGATCCAATGCTGCCTTATCTTTAAATTAGGCTATTAGTATTATTTGAAGTTAACATTATAAAATACGTAGACCTACACCACAAAATTACCACAATAAATTATTTAAAATTGGGGAAGTCCAGCATTATGGACATGACATTTGCAGTCAAAACATGAAATAAAAATTCTCAGAAAATACATGTATTGAAACGTATATAGGCTACTTCCAGACATTAGACAAATATCAGTCTATGTTTTATTTTTAATATTAGGGAAAAGACACACATTCATGCGTGACAAAAAAATAGGAGGCAAAATATATTTTTTGTAATTCTGTTAATTACACTGCGCAAATCGGATGAGGAAGGGTTGGCTCTCCAGTCTCCATAAAACTTAAAATATTCATTTTATTTTAGTTTTCGTGTTCGCATTTATGAGGAAAAAACAATGTTACAGACGTGACCGCACTGAACTGGCACTAAAAGACTGCTTTGAAACTTTTACATAGTCTGTTGCCTTTAAGAGGTAAAAGCAGACAATACACTGTAATACAACTGTAATTCAAGCCTCACTGAACATGTAACGAGTAAAATATTACTGAAAATTGATTAGTAATGCCTTACACTACTGCGTTACAGCAAAAAGTAATATGTTACTGTAATGTATTACTTTTGTAATGCGTTACTCCCAACACTGGTGACCTTTGACTTCTGTGTCCCCTTCAGCCCCTTGTGTGCCTCAGAATGTGCTGACAATCATTGAGTGTCCATCTACTGTTCTCAACATTACCTGGCAACAGAGAGGTCAAGCCCATCACTACCACGCCACAGTGAGAAGCAGTGATGGACAAGTGCTGGGGTGTGACTCTAACGTAACCTTCTGCCAAGTACCTCACGTTCTCTGTGGCCTGACCTACGACGTGACAGTGGCGGCCTATAGTCAAACCTGCAACAGTTCTCAAAGCTCTGTGCAGCATGTCACCTCAGGTACCTGTGAAAGATATCATATAGATATGCATACATAGATTTAATGTTTGGATGTCTCTAACATATGTTTTCTGTATTCCTCAGCTCCCTGCCCACCAGATGATTTATTAGCAGTCTTGGACTGTACATCAAACACCGTCTCTCTGTCCTGGGACTCTAGTGTAGATGGTGTCGTCTACATTGCAAAGGCCTTTTATTCCAATGACGACCACAATTACTACACGTGTAACACTACAAAGACCAGCTGCGACATCCCTTTGACCTGTGGGAGAGATTATAATCTGACTGTAGTGCCAGTAAGGAATGGCTGCACTGGGGAAAATGCTCCAGTCCAGTATTTAATGGCAGGTTAGTCACGTTTAATGCGTCATATTTTTCCATAATCCGACACAAATTTGACTTTTGGGATGTGTGTTTGTGTATGAAGCTCCTTGCGCTCCCCTCATGTTGGGCGTCGAGATGGACTGCCTGTCTGATTCGGCTTGGCTGACATGGGACGAGTCAGCAGGGGCGGAGCTCTACATCGCCACGGCGACTGACAGTGATGGACAGGTGTACCAGTGTAACTCAACTGAAAATCAATGTACAGTTGAACAGCTTCAATGTGGAAGATTCTACAACTTCAGTATCACTGCATTTAACAGTCAGTGCGACAGCCACCTGAGCAACACGATGGAATCTGAAACAGGTGAAGGTTTCCAGTGTAAAGTTATAACATCATGACATAATCGTCAGGGTTATGAGTCATTTTATGAGACAATTGAGTTTCTATCAGTTCCATGTTTAACGTCAATGTGTTTCCTATGAGTTACATCTACCCACCACGACAATAATAAGATCTCTTTCTCCCTCCCAGCGCCCTGTCCACCTCAGAATGTGGTCACGTCAGTGGGGTGTGACTCTGGCATGGTGAGTGTGTTGTGGGATGAGAGTGTTGGCGCGTTGAGCTACACTGCGACTTTGGATCGTACAGATGGAGAGACCACCTGCTGCACGGCAAACTCCACTTCCTGTGAGGTCACTTCCCTTCCCTGCGGCCAGATGTACGTCCTGACGGTCACTGCTGAGGGACGGACATGCAATAGCTCTCAGAGCATTGAGGTCATCGTACGGTCAGGTAATACAACCTTGTTACCAATGAAAATTAATATAAAATATTAATCTAAATTTGATATATGTGTATAATTTATGTGTATTTACCGTAACTCTTACATTTGCATGTTCATTAAATCTTTTTTGGTAGAAAATCAATCAAACATCAGAGTAAACTCAAGTGATGTCCCATATTTTACTCACAGGGTTGCGAAGTTAACCCTCTGGGGACGGATTGGGCGGTATCGCCCAAAATGGCATACTTTTACAAATGTGTAATTATCTTAAAAACGATTAATGATAGAGAGGTGCGGCCTTTTTTGGTGTCTTCCTCAGATTCCACTGAAAACAATGGTAAATGGTGAATACTTGCGTAATACAACTGCGTATAAGGCCAATGAAATCGATGTTGTTAGGAATATTCCACGCGCAAAGACCAATGGAAAAATTGCCGCTGGGAGGAATATTTTTCTTACCCAATCAGAGGAAGGTTACCATGATTATATATATATAGTATGAAAGCAATTATAGCAGTATTATTATCTATTATCTAGCACATTTATGATGGCAAGCAGTAAAAGATTTACCTCAGAACAAGCTCTGGAACAATTACTGGAACGTGACGAGGAGAAATCCGAAGCTAACAGCTTTTCCACAGATGATGAAATATTTTACTTTTGATTGAAAAATTTCAAATATCTGTCAAGCAAAGGGTTTGAACAATATATTTTTTGTTCAAAAACGGTTCACTATTGTTGTTTGAGGTGTGATTTTCAGTAATAAATGACAAAAATAAAATGTTCATTTTTGAAATTCTCTAGTTTATTGTACATTTATTGTACATGTTTCCTCATACTTCCTTTATTAACAAAGTACATGCTAGCTTAGGGTCTTCTGAATCCATAGATACCAAACACATGGTGGTCCATCTTCATTACACATGGTTTATAAGCCCAAATGTAAAAATAGAGAAAACGGGCCAAAAATCGCTCAGTCCCCTGAGGGTTAAAGAGAAAAAAAAAAGATTATAAAAAGTCAAATGCTGCTCACCTCCTTCCACCTACTCAAGACATTTTTATTCTTTTTTTAAAGAGTTTGAAACTCTATTTTGCACCATTTCTTGTGAAAAATGTTATATAGCCTCTGGATGCTCTTTCAGTAATTAAGGTGTATTTCAACCCACAGTTCCCTGTATCCCGGAGAATCTGGTGTCCAGTACAAGCTGCAGTGATAACGTGGCCACCATGTCATGGATGAGCAAAGAAGTCGGTGAGCTCTACGTGGTCAGTGCCATTAGCAATGACGGGCTTCACCTCGACAGCTGCGCAGGGTTCGGTCAGTCATGTGATCTTACAATGCTGAAGTGTGGTGTGCCATACACTGCCACAGTAATAGCACAAGACAGCATCTGCAGCAGTCCACCCAGTCAATCTGCTCCAATCAGGACAGGTTTGTGTGATTTTATTGCAATATGCATTGTAAATGCTGATGAACCAGATCTTTTCTTGTTCCGAATCCCTCGATTTTACTGACAGTCACTTCTCTCATGTTCAGTGCCCTGTGTGCCGGATAATGTGACCGCTGATGTGACCTGCCAAGAGAATGGCCTGTCCGTGTTCTGGCAGGAGAGCGCAGGAGCCGGATCTTACACGGCTGTGCTCGAGGACAGTTACGGTCGTTTCACCAACTGTCAGAGCACGAACGACACCACCTGTACAGTTGACAGACTCGCCTGCGGACAGACCTACCATGTCAGTGTGATAGCATCAGACGGATACTGTGACAGCTCGCCCAGTGCCGTCATTGACGTAGATTCAGGTAGAAAGCAATGAGGACAGATTTACACAGACACACAAGTCGAATTCCCCCAAAAGATTCTGCTGTAAAATTATTCTCATTCTCACTGGGTCATATTGCAAGCTTTTTTCCGCCACAGAATGAAAAATAAAAAATGTAATTTTTTTATCGCGCAATTTACCGACTTTTTATCTCGCAATTCTGACTTTTTTTCTCACAATTGCGAGTTAACATCTTGCAATTTAACATCTCACAATTCTGAGAAATAAAGTCATAATTGCGAGATGTTAACTCACAATTGCGTGTTATAAAGTCATAATTGCGAGATGTAAAGTCATAATTGCGTGATATAAGGTCACAATTGCGTGTTATAAAGTCAGAAATGCGTGATATAAAGTCGAAATTGCGAGATATAAAGTCAGAATTGTGAGATATAAAAAAAGTTAGTCTTTATATCCCCTTAGAATTGGCCTGATAACTCGCAATTGCGAGTTTATATCTCACAATTCTGAGAAAAGATGTCAGAATTTCGAGATATAAACTCGCAATTATGTGTTATAAAGTCAGAATTTCACGATGCAACTTTATTTATAGTTGCAACTTTATTTCTCACAATTGCGACTTTATATCTCGCAATTGCAACTTTTATTTCTCAGAATTGCGACTTTATATCTCACACTTGCGACTTTATTTCTCAGAATTGCGACTTTATATCTTGCATGTGCAACTTTTCTTCTCAGAATTGCGACTTTATATCTCAATATTGCGACTTTATTTCTCAGAATTGCGACTTTATATCTTGCATTTGCAACTTTTCTTCTCAGAATTGCGACTTTATATCTCGCAATTGCGACTTTATTTCTCAGAATTGCGACTTTATATCTCGCACTTGCGACTTTATTTCTCAGAATTGCGACTTTATATCTCGCAATTGCAACTTTATTTCTCAGAATTGCGACTTTATATCTCGCAATTGCGACTTCATTTCTTAGAATTGCGACTTTGTATCTCGCAATTGTGACTTTATTTCTCAGAATTGCGACTTTATTTCTCAGAATTGCGACTTTATTTCTCAGAATTGCGACTTTATATCTTGCAATTGTGACTATTTCTCAGAATTGCAACTTTATATCTCGCAATTGCGACTTTATTTCTTAGAATTGCGACTTTGTATCTCGCAATTGTGACTTTATTTCTCAGAATTGCAACTTTATATCTCGCAAATTGCGACTTATTTCTCACAATTCTGACTTCACATCTCGCAATTGTGAGATAAAAAGTCGCAATTATTTATTTATTTATTTATTTTTTATTCAGTGGCAGAAACAAGCTTCGTTATGTTCCCTATAGTATGTTGAATTGAAATTTGAATAGAAAAAATACTGAATTGCACTTTAACACAGTCTGTCAAGGAACAGACCAACACGTTTTGCAATAAAACATTATCATATTACATTAAAAAGAATAAAATACACTTCTGTGAATTTCAGCCATTCAAATATGTTTAAAATTTAATAATTCTTTTTGGTTTTGGAATTTAATTTGTAATTCAGTTCTGAAAGCCATGTGCTGGTACACAAGTCAAAAAGTTTAAGTAATAATTAATGTTACTGTAATGGTGCCATGACAGAATCAAAAACTTTTCTAGGCCTGTAACATTTCTTTGAATTGTTAAAAAGGTCATGATTGTAGTATGCCAATTATATTCCAACTATTTAGTTATATAATTTAGAACTGTTCATAATACAATGTTTACTTCTGTGGAAAAAGTACCATTAAATGTATCGAATCTTCTCTCTCACACTTAAACGATGCAAAATACAATGTGGCATTCAATGTGCTATATAGATGGTGTGAAATTTTCCAAAAGTTAATTTTGGACCCTGCTTTTTTGGTTCTTTAGTGTTTTTGATGTAGCATGTTATTTGTCTGTATTGCAGCTCCTTGCATGCCTCGTGAGATTCGGGCACTAATAGACTGTCAATCTGGTACGGCTACACTGTCCTGGCAGCCAGGCACTGGGGCAATGCAGTACATGAGCACAGCAGTGGGTGAATCTGGTCATGAACTCACCTGTGAAAGCAACAACACCAACTGTGAGCTGACAGGACTGGCCTGTGGAGAGAGCTACAACGTCACTGTGTTAGCAGAAGGACAGACCTGCAGCAGTGTTGCAACCATGAGGGGACAACTGAAGACGGGTGAGCAGAACTACCCAGAACACCTCCTACAATACTCCCTTGAACAAACTCACAGAACAATCTCACAACCCCACAGCAGCACTGGCAACAACCCACTACATCACCCAACAAATACCTAGTAATGCCCTAGAAACCATCCACAATGCCATCTGGGAACACAGCAGTATGTTAAAACTTACTCAGAACACCTCAACAACTGTTTTAACAATTTCCTAGCAATTCCCACAATACCAGCATCTACCTAGTAATGCCCTAGAAACCACCAGAACAGCCTTTCAGACACTTAGCCCCTATTTAATGAAGTTTTATTAACTAAGTTCGGGAGGAGCACGTTCAGATAATTAGTGGACAGTAATCAGCAATCAGCAACCAATGAGAAGAGGGTATATATAGACTCAGCAGTCTTACCTCGATCCATTGGCAGTTTGCAGCATCCCTCCTCCACCCCTTCTCCACACTACTAGTTCTCCACACTCCTCTTTCTAAAAAATCACTTACATACGGGGGGAGTACTCTGGGTTCGGGCAGAAATCCGAGCTCGGAGCCCTCCCTCCGGACAGCACGCCAAATATGCATTGAATCTCACTCAGAATTATATGTAAGTGTGAACTCGTGAATTGGTATTAAGAAGTGTTTTCGTCATTACAATTGGACAACACTTGGGTCGGGTGGGGTGTGCAATGGACGTCTGGTCAAAATAGTGGGTTATTGGACAAATAGTGGGTTAGTGGGACGTGGGGCACGTGGCGAAGGCAGAACTGCTTCGGGGGGCCTCGTATTTCGGGGGCCTCCCATCGCGCCTCCGAGGGCGTCGGGGCACCCCAACCCTGTCAGCATGGGTCGGGGGGGCCAGCGTGCACATCCGCTGACCACCGTCCGCGAACCAACGCCCCAAGGACCGTTTGGACGTTTTCAAAAGTCATGGGCGAAAATGCATGGGACCGGATTGCTTACATGGTGTAAATGCTCATGTGGTCGAATGCGTTTGAACAGCCACAAAAGACTCTTTACTCTCCGCCTACCAGTGGTGGAGGAAGTACTGAATCTCAGTACTTAAGTAAAAGTACAAATACCCAGATAAATATTTACTTTAGTAAAAGTAGAAGTAACACAATGACAACCATACTTAAGTAAAAAGTAAAAAGTACTTTATTTTAAATGTACTTTAGGTATTAAAAGTAAAAGTACTTGCATAACAATTTATTATCTTAATGTCTATTTTCTAATGATTAATAAAACATTTAATTCTAACTCATTCAACCTAATAGCCTACTCCTATAATGATGTTCAATAATGATGGAAAAAAACGTCACCATTTCTGAAACAAGCTTGCAATTAGGCAATATCATGCTTATCCTTACTGTTAATATGTTTGGCAGTAAACGCGATTCATTTATGGTGTAATTCTGAACCTCTTGGCTTGCCATAATCCTAACCAAACCAAACATATATTACACACGGTGTGTTTCCTATGCACGTAAAAACAAATTTTCGCGTATGAGTTGCACGATAAACACACTGCGTGTGAGACGCATTTAGTGTGACCGGCCGTGCTGTTGATATACTGCCGGGTTGATATACTGTATCTATGGCAACCAAACGTCACTGGTGTAAGGGTTAGACCACTAGGGGGCGCCATCTGCCCAAATATATCTGCGTCTCATTTCACGTTAAAGGGTGCCATGTGCGTTGGATATTTACGCTTTTGCAAAAGCGTCCGATATGGCGCTTTAGGATGAGAACGGGCTCGACGGTCAGATTACGTTTTGGCAGGGGAAAAACTGATCAGAAAATGTAACGAAAATGTAACAGAAGTTGTAGAAATGTAGTGGAGTAGAAAGTATAATAATTGCTGCAAAATGTAACGAAGTAAAAGTAAAAAGTAGGCACTATTTATTGTACTTAAGTAAAGTAAAGATACGTGAAAAATGTACTTAAGTAAAGTAACGAAGTATTTGTACTTCGTTACATTCCACCACTGCCGCCTACTGACCTAACGAGTAAACATAATGGGAAGCGCACTAACCTGACAGGATTTAAAGTTTGGTTTGAAGACGAGAAGTTCGGTTCTCTCACCATTCCTGATTTCTAACACACTCAGTGTGTTCAGTGTGATTTTACAGCTGTCAGAGAAGAATCGAAAGCTATATTTTTCTATTTTCTCTGGCCCTGTTCATTTGTAAATTGTGCAGGCTTATTTTGTCCATAGGCCCTCTTCTTGAACAAATCAAGACAGAAGGGGTGGAAAGTGGACAAAAGAGACAGATTAAAAACACAAGGTGTAAACAGGAATGTGTCTCCCTCGTCTACTTGTGATCCGATGGACCAAAACGGATCTTAATACCAGGTGTAAACATGGCCTTAGCAATCACCCAAACCAATATTGCAACTGCATAGAAGAGCTCTGAAAGCCACTCAAAACACCCACAAATTGCATAGCAGCATGAGCATCCTAGCCACACTCTTAACATCCTAACAAACGCACAACAGCATGCTAAAATGGGGTGGTGATGGCGCAGATGATAAGACACATGCCTTTGGTGTGAGAGACCCGGGTTCGAATCCACTGTTACCCTTTTTCCACCAAAAAAGAACTGGTTCGGAACTGGTGCTGGTTCAAAGTTGGTTCGGAGTTGGTTCAACTTGCGAACCGCTTCAGAATCTGTTTGTTTTTCCATTGATTAGAGCGCCCCGGGAACGACGTCGTTACGTCACTGTGTACGTCGCCATACGTCTTAGCTAGAAACCCTTGCAAGTACAACATTACTTTGGGATTATCTCTCACTCGTGTACCAAGAAGGCTTTAAAAACAATTGAAATATGTAAGTCTTTTAATCTTTTCGTTTGATATGTAATTTTTTTCTGATAAGTTATGTACCCATGTCTTGTGTCTTTTTTCTTTCCATTTATTTGTTCTATATTGTGACTGTTTTCTTCTTTGCTTATAATGTCTTCAAAAAAAAAAAAAAGACAAAAATAGAAACGCTTGCGTTAACTTCAAGCATAACAATTACACAGGCGGACTCGTGTTTCTGCAAATGTTTCTCTTGGCTTTGCGATCCTTTATTATGGTCAGATAAAATGTTTAGGACGCATCTAAACCCGCCCCAGCCCCCGACGTAAGTATGACGTGGTAAAAGAACGGTTCTAGTCCAGCAAAGAGTTGGTGCCGCTTTGGAACCAGTTCCCCTGGCCAAGAACCGGTTCTTTGGCTGTCGAAACACAAAGAACTGGTTCGCGCGCAGGCACCGGCTCCGAACCGGCTCTCAAAATGCTTTGGTGGAAAAGGGGCTTGTGAGACACCAATGTGTCCCTGAGCAAGTCACTTAACCCCTAGTTGCTCCAGAGGCGTGCGACATCTGACATATATAGCAATTGTAAGTCGCTTTGGATAAAAGCGTCCGCTAAATAGATAAATGTAAAATGTAAAAACACTCCTTAAAACCTTATCAGTCGGTTGTAAATGCCATGGAAACTACACTTAACATCCTTGCAAGACTGTATTTTGCACCATGATAATGAATTTCTTTCTCATCATTTTTTAACTCAGGTCCCTGTGTACCTCAGCATGTTGAAGTGCAGTACGGCCTGTCTATCGCCCAGCTGTCCTGGGACAGGAGCAGAGGTGCTACCAGATACACCACACAGGCTGTCACTGATCTGGGATCAGTGTTGTCCTGCTCCACCAGTGACACCTCCTGTGCCCTCTACAATGTGTCCTGCAGTCAGACATATGACATCAGCGTGACAGCACACAACACCGTCTGCCAGGGAGCTGCTGTATCTGCATCAACTACTCTACTCACAGGTGCCTTCATTTTGCCATTATCCCAATGATTTTAGTGCTTTATGTGTCCAACAACTGACTGTGTGTGCTTCACCAGAACCCTGCCCACCCCAGAACGTGCGAACGCATCTGAATTGCTCAAGTGATGTAGGGACCGTGTCTTGGGAAGAGAGTTTGGGGGCGCTGGCATACGTGGCTTTCCTGGAGGGTCGTAATGGTCAAAGCCTGTCCTGCTACACGACCAGCTCCAGCTGCAGTGTGACCGGGCTGATCTGTGGCACTGTTTACGACACCCATGTACAAGCCATTGGAGGAACTTACAACAGCACCGACAGCGAGACAGTTCTTCTCACATCAGGTTAGGCAGGTTTCTATTTTAACGCCATGCCAGCTTCTATGGCTATATTCATGGCAAGAGCCATAAAGATTTTCTGAAAAACTAAATTTGGATTTGCTTGGTTTAAAACCTTTTCAAAAGGATCAAACAAGCTCATTAAATGGGTAGAAGTAATATGTTTAATGGATAGAAGGCATCTAACAAAATCAGGGACCATTCTGTAATGAATCCAATGGAGGCAAGTTGAACTTAGTGATGGGCGATTTCAAAACACTGCTTCATTAAGCTACGAAACCTTTACAAATCTTTTGTTTCGAATCAGTGTTTCGGAGCACGTATGAAACGGCCAAAGTCTTGTGATTTCAGTAAACGAGGCTTCGTTATGTTGTAACCGTTTCAACATTTCAATGGTTCACCGCGATATCATGAATTATGTGGATTCACTGAAATGTACCCCTAGTGGCAAACCATTGAACAACTGTTTATGGGTTTTTATACATTTGTACATGTTTTAATTAGACATTAGTATAATTAAAAGGAATAATAGTTGTTAAGAATCTCTAATTAGCTTGTTTAGCTATGCCACCCATGGAACAAACAAAGTAAAAACTGATAAAAGAACACATATTGCACAGATACTTTTAATCGTATTAAATGATTAGTTAATTGCATTTGATAAATTTTACTTTCAAAAAAAAATTTGGCCTGAGTTTGTGTTGCATTTACACTGTTCTGACCAATAGTCTCACCAGCATGTGCTGTTTCCAGCTCTGTGCTGTTGATTCAAAGCTTTCTTCTTTCTTTCTTTATTCTTTCTTTATTTATTTATGCAGGGACCATGCACAATTTTTAACATAAAATTACCATTTCATGTATTGTACCGGATTTAGCCAGAGGCTATTTTTCATCCGCAGTCCCCCAGACAAGACAAAGACTTTGTTTGTCCTATCACCAAGTTTAACTGAAGCCATGTGCAGATTTATTTAACAAAACTTAATCAAAACAAATGAAAAATTAAAAGAGACTAGAAATATGAAATGAACTTTAACAAACAAACTCAACAACAGCAGTGAACATTAACAAAGTTAGACACCAGACAACTGGAAAATGAGGGCTATATATCATAGACAGTAAAAGAAATGGACACAGTGCCAATTATTGCACTTCCTGTCTGATGTCTGAGCGAATGTAAATCTTCTAGTAGCTGTGCCAACACAAATCTGAATCACCTAATTCCTTAAAAACGTTGTTGAGATATTTTGTCCCGTTGCTTTCATGGACTCTCTATCTATGGGCTTCTTCCTTGACTTTATGCCTCCATGTCCCCCCGATTGCCTCATAGACAGTAAAAGATTGCCCGTGAGCTTCTCCTCCTGTCTATACGGTAATTTCTCTATTGTGCGAGGTTATGACGCAATCTTTAGCCTATTTTTACAAAAACGCCTTCTACGGGCCGTAACATAAGATACAAAGTAATGGAGCATTTTATACATTGTTGTGTTTCTTTAGAAATAAATAATGACAAATGAAGTCTTTGGATGCCTCAGGTGTAAAGTTATTCACTGTCAAAGTGAATGGGAGTCAATGGGATGCTAACAGCAGGTGATAGTCTGTTACAATGGAGGCTTCAGTTTCCGGCTGATGGATGACACCCTTGCTATATACCCAAAGACTAATGACTTTAAAAGACACACCTGAAATCAATAAACCAATAAATAAAATGAATGCAGAGGAGCACATGATTAGAACAACCAATGGAAACAGAACAATAAAGCAAAGGGGACACATCATAGATATCTATATAAAGGCTAGATGTGTCACGGCGGAGTATTTATCGTCATCACCGGCGACCATCTTGTCACAGACAGGCTTTCTGGCGGGCTCTGATGTAAGAAATACTCTTATCTCGTTGAAATCTTGACGGATTTACAAACGGTTTGGTTTCTTACAAACGTTATTGACGTGGCTATAATTCTGGATGATTATATTTATACACGTATTATTCATAAGTATGCAGTATCATAACTACATCTCTGCCGTTTGTAACAAACCAGACCGTTTGAAAATCGGTAGAAAATTGAGCAAGTTACGATGATTTAAAAAGTACATGCACCATTAAAACAATGTTACCAGTGAGCGAGCTACCTGTGACAAGATGGCCGCCAGTTGCTGACGTCGACCTCCATTGGCCAGCAGCGCGGACGAGATATCTAGCCTTTATATAGATATCTATGGGACACATGACATAAACAGGAGACATGACTTGGATAATTCAAAATAAAAGACAAGAAAATGTGAACAAAACCAAAAATACATACTCGGGTACCGTAGGTGGCAGTATGCACTTGAAAAGTCATAGTTGCAATCTATATATATATATATATCTACTGTATACCACAGTATAAGTTTTAAAATGTCTAGTAAAAAACATACTGCCCCGACCTAAGTGTCCATTTCGACTGAGCAGGCTTGTGATTCGCCGCTGTGTCTTTGTGTCTAGCCCCCTGTCCACCAGTGTCCAGCTCAGTCGCTGTCGCCGTGATCTGTGATGATGCAACAGCGTTGTTCAACTGGGCCTGGAGTGGCGGAGCTGCGTCCTATGAGCTCACTGCCATCAGTAACAACGGCTACATCGCCACCTGCATCTCTCAAGAGAATTACTGTAACATCAGCAATCTAGCCTGCGGACAGACCTACAAGGTCAGGCTCACAGCAAACAATGATAGATGTCAGGTTACAGAGGAGACTGGAGTGACCTTCCAAACACGTGAGTCGACATTTTTCTGTCGACAATGTAACTGTAGAAAAGGAATACAGCTCATAACTGAACTAATCATTGAGCTATTTTGCCCTTTGAACTCTAGGCCCTTGTGCTCCTTTGCGTGTGAACGTGGACTTTCAGTGCCAATCTAGAGCAGCTGTACTGACCTGGGAGCAAAGGGACGATGTGCTATACTACCTTGCTAGCGTCACCCTCAGCACAGGAGAAGTGGCCACAGTTTGTAACTCTACAACTGACAGCTGTGAAATGAGGGGGTTGAGGTGTGGAGAGGAGTACGCCTTCACCGTCTCGGCCTACAGTGAAGATTGCCACAGTGACGTCAGCAGCACTGTACACATTCAAACAGGTCCATCATTCTATACTTTAAACTTTATTTTTGTTATCCAGTAAGTAGTGGACAAATTTATGTCCGGCCTAGCAGGGTTAAGAGTTCAGAGGCCCCTGGGCACAATGTCTTGTAGGCCCCCTCTTAAAGGGTTAGTTCACCCAAAAATGAAAATTAAGTCATTAATTACTCACCCCCATGCTGTACCAACCCCGTAAGACCTTCGTTCATCTTCGGAACACAAATAAAGATATTTTTGATTGAATCTGAGGGCTGGATCACTCTTCCATAGACAGCCTGAGGGACTGCCTCTTGACGGCCCAGAAAGTCATTAAAAGAAAAGGTTTAAATATTCCATGTGCCTACAGTGGCTCAACTATAACTTTATCAAGCGACGAGACTACTTTTTGTGCGAAAAAAACCCGCAAATAACGACTTTATTCGACTTTCCATTACTTCCTTATGGGCGCATGCGCGAGAACTGAGACGAGACCGTTCTTCTTCGACTATAACCGTATAAGATGACGTACTGATATAGCCGGAGGCGCAAAACGTTCTGTTTACAAGCAGTACGTCATCTTATACGGTAGGGGGCGGTAAAACTCCTAAGCGGTGAGCAGCCGGTAACAAAAAGTAGTCGAAGAAGAACGGTCTCGTCTCAGTTCTCGCGCATGCGCCCATAAGGAAGTAATGGAAAGTCAAATAAAGTCGTTATTTACGTTTTTTTTTTTTCGCACAAAAAGTAGTCTCGTCGCTTGATAAACTTATAATTGAGCCGCTGTAGGCACATGGAATATTTAAACCTTTTCTTTTAATGACTTTCTGGGCCGTCAAGAGGCAGTCCCTCAGGCTGTCTATGGAAGAGTGATCCAGCCCTCAGATTCAATCAAAAATATCTTTATTTGTGTTCCGAAGATGAACGAAGGTCTTACGGGGTTGGTACAGCATGGGGGTGAGTAATTAATGACTTAATTTTCATTTTTGGGTGAACTAACCCTTTAAGCAGGCCAAATGTATATTTTGTCCAAGGACATTTTAATATGGCATTTACAGTTTACTGATTTAATGACTTAAAATTAACTTTGTTGAACTATTGGAGTAAAGTTCATAAATGGTTGTTCTTTGCTATAGGAATTTGTAAAACTATGTTGGGTGGACCCTTAATATAGCATTTATAGTTTTACTGATTTACTATTCCTCTAGGGGGGTTCGGGGGCATGCTCCCCCAAAAGACAATTGTGTACATTTTAAGGTTAAATGCATCAATCTTGTGCTCTCTGAGAGATCACAATTAAGAGCTTCAACCCATGAACTGCTCGTTGAACAAAGAAAACGCATTGATTTGTACCAGGACAATAAACAGGGCTCAAACATCTTTTTAGTTGAGTCTCAGTCTACATTACATTATCAATGGAGTTTTAGGATCCCAAACAATTATTGTAATAATGTAATAATGATTTATATAATTATTCCTATGACATCTAAGTGCCCATCTGGCCCAATGGTTAATCCGGCCCTGCGGCCTAGGAAATTTGTGATCTTCACCCTAAGATATTTAGTTTTCTTTGAATGACATCACAATGAAACCTTTGCATTGTCTCTTTCTTCAGAACCTTGTCAGCCAACCCAACTGACAGTCGCAGGATCATGTGATAACAACACAGTTCACTTGAACTGGAATCACAGCAGAGGTGCATTGAGTTACACAGTGCTTATCGCAAGCAACCTAGGATATGCCAACTCAGTCCAGACATCAGAATCGATGCTAACAGCGGAGCTCCTCTGCGGACAGACCTACACCTTCACAGCAGTGGGGGAAAATGATGCCTGTGACAGCATCCCAAGCACTCCTGCCCATCTTACGACTGGTACGACCCAACACTCATAAAGGCCGATCTTACAAGTGACACAAAAATTGCCACAGAAAAGGTTTCTGACATTTATACAAAATCAATGCTTTTCTTCTATAGCCCCGTGTGTGCCATACAACATTGAGACCTTTGCAGAGTGTGAGACTAGCCTGGGTGCTGTCAGCTGGGCTGGCAGTGATGGCGCAGAAACTTACACCGCCATTGCCGAAGGACAGGATGGCCACACGCACATTTGCATAACAAACACAACCTTCTGTATTTGGGAGGAGCTGCATTGTGGGGAAATTTACGTTGCCCGGGTCATTGCCAACGCACAAATCTGCAGCAGTAATCCCAGTAAAAGCACAATCATCAACATGGGTGAGTTGCTGATGAGGTCAACTTTAAATGAAACTACTTTCTAGAAATGGCTAATCAATATTGCCTGCGTTGTGTACAGCTCCATGCATCCCCCAGAAACTGGTGTCCTCCTTTGACTGTGAGGTGAGAGTGGGTTCCCTCACCTGGGAAGCAAGTGAAAATGCTTCGATGTACCTGGCGTCTGCCGAATCTAGCAGCGGTCACCGGGTCGAACTCACCACCAATGACACAAATGCACAGTTCTCGGAGTTCAACTGTGGTCAGCTTTACTTTCTGACTGTCCTAGTTGTGGGACATGTATGTAGGAGCCCCCCCAGCAACGCTTCAGTACTGCAGACAGGTTAGGACTTTCTTACACGCACCCAATCCCAAAAGAAGCACGCAACTCTTTTGCTTTCGAAAGGACACGACAGTCTTGACAATGCCACACTTGTTGAATGACATGGATTATGTCATTGTGTCTTTCTACAGAGCCCTGCACTCCCACATCCCTCTTTGGCTTTAATGACTGCATCTCCAATATTGCTACAGTATCTTGGGATCCAGCTGATGGTGCAGAATACTACACCGCAACAGTGCAAGGCCCAGATGGGCCTTTAGGAACATGCATGTCCTGGACGGCGAGCTGCGGCATGCCCAAACTGTCTTGCGGCAATACATACAATGTTAGCGTGATTGCCTCCAGTCGCCAATGTAACTCAACACCCAGTGCGCTGAGCACTATTAACACAGGTAATGCATGCTAACCAACTTCAACATGAATGTTAGACACAAATACACACACCTCAGCACAGTTATTGTTCTGGTAATGTCATGTCTGCACTGTCAGAGCATTTACTTGTCTTGATCCCAGTACTGTACCTGGTAATGGTATTATGGTTGGCAAAATTTTCAATTTAATATGCATTTACATTTACAAGAACAACTCTCTCTCTTTCGCAGTGCCCTGTGTTCCTACGGGAGTGTCTGTGGTGCTGGACTGTGCCACTGCTGAGGCACATGTGTCCTGGAACGCAAGCATGGGGGCGCTGTCCTACACTGCTTTTGCCTGGAACAGCCAATTCAACTTCATATCTTGTAGTAGCACTGGACCTGTTACACATTGCAGTCTTAGTGATCTCATCTGTGGAGATGATTACAGTATTCAAGTGATTGCTGTTGGAGATGAATGCACCAGTTTGCCCAGTCAGACAGAACACTTCTTCACAGGTACAGTTGCCTAGTTTTGGTTTTGTTGTTCTAGATCAGGGATGGGCAACTTCAGTCCTGGAGGGCCACTTAGCTCCAACCCTGAAAAAATCCCTTGCCTGTAACTTTCTAGTAATCCTGAAGACCTTGATTAGCTTGTTCAGTGTGTTTGATTAGGGTTGAAGCTAAACTCAGTAGGACAATTGCCCACCAGGACCGAAGTTCTCCACCCCTATTCTAGATTAAAGAAATTGGTTCTGTTATTATTTTTCTCTTGTAACATTATTTTTCTGTTGTTTCCTGTAGTTCCTTGTGCCCCAGAAGTTACTTCTACACACCTGGACTGCTACACTGACACTGTCCTGCTGCAGTGGACTCCCACCAATGGGTCTGTTTCCTACACCGCTGATGCCAGGACTCCTGGGGGGCTGACCTCCACCTGCTCCAGCAACTCCACTAACTGTGAACTGAAGGGACTAGCTTGTGGACAAACATACAATCTTACCATGGTATCATATGATGGACATTGCCACAGCCAACCTGGCACAGCCCTGGCAGTTGCGTCGGGTATGAAAGAGGAAATTAATTAAAATACATCACCTAGATGTAGCAATGTAGTCAACTTTTTTTAAGAGTCATTCTCAGGGATGTCCATATGATTGGGTACTAGTATAATTAAAGGGTTGGTTCACCCAAAAATTAGAATAGGCCTATGTCAAGAAAAAATTGAAGACTGGAAGTACGTCTTTTGGTAGGGATACGGCTCTTCCCAGCAAACAAATTTGGGTTCTGGGAATGTTCTGGGAACGTTAGTTTTTAGAACTTTCCCTTAAGGTTAGGGGAACGTTCCTGGAACATTCTCCTTACGTTATAAAAATGGAACCTAAAAATAACCTGCATGGAACATAACCTATAACGTTCTTGTTTGGTTCCCCCCAAAAAATAACCTCATGGGACCATTCGGGAACGTTAGGGGAACGTTCTGTGTTTGCTGGGATTCTGGTTAGCTTTTTACAATGGTGGGGTCCGATAGATACGACTGGACCAAATCTCTCCGCAACCTGTCTGAAGTCACATATGACGATGTGGTTCGGATGGTAAATGAAAACTCAAGCGCAAAAGCTGAGGTATGGCTGTCTATGTCCTGATGCAAAGCAACTTTTCATTTTCACAACTAGCCATTCGCCAGTAAGGTAAATTGATGCGTTCACGTGCTATGGAAAATAGGATATTTTCCACTTGTGAACTGGTATTTACCAGTGTGTTGCATTCAAGTGCTTTTGTTGTCGTAATGTGGTAAAAAGATGGAGATCCAGACCTGTTATGTAGCTAAAACTATTTTAGATTGCTTAAGTCATCTCCAACGGCAAGAAAATGATTTATCGAAACTCAAAAGGTAAATTAAAGCTGCAAGCAGCGATGGGCGGGCCCTCGCACCTGTAGCGCGTTGGGGTGTGAGGCGGCCGCGTTGCATATTCTGCGGCTCAGCCGGTGCGGCTGTGAATTTGGTTCGCTGCTTCGTTAAAGGTCACTTTCTGTTGCCAGCAGGTGGCGCTATGACTTAGGGTGAATGTGATCATGTAGATTTGTTTAGGGCGGGACTCTTGTCAAATGTGTCAAATTTCATTCAGATCTGGGCATTTACAGCCGAATTACTACAACTTCCTGTTTCATGGCGAATTATCGACGCCACGGACATGCCCATCGATGAAAACGCGCAGAGAGCACAACTTTACATCATCAATGCCTTTAGAAGGCACAGCAGACATTTGAAGTCGATCCGACTAAATCCCTAGGAGGAGTTCGTTAAAGTACGGAGTGTGTAAATCGTCCCAAAATGGGCTCCAAATTCAAAATGGCGGACTTCCTGTCGAGTTTAAGGTATGGGTTCTTGAGGCTTTTTTGTACGTCTGGTCATGGTAGATGTACCACAGAAATTTCGTACATGTCGGTCAAACAAGCGGCGGGGACTGCTTCGTTTAAAGGTCACTTCCTGTTGCCAGCAGGTGGCGCTATGACTGTGGGTGAATGTCGGCATGTAGATTTGTTCAGGGCGGGACTCTTGTCAAATGTGTAAAATTTCGTGCAGATCTGGGCATTTACAGCCAAGTTAGTACAACTTCCTGTTTCATGGCGAATCTTCGACGCCACGGACATGCCCATCGACGAAAATGCGCAGATAGCACAACTTTACATCGTCAATGCCTTTAGAAGGCACAGCAGAAATTTTAAGTCGATCCGACTAAATCCCTAGGAGGAGTTCGTTAAAGTACGGAGTCTGTAAATCGTCCAAAAATGGCCGCCAAATTCAAAATGGCGGACCTCCTGTCGAGTTTAGGGTATGGGTTCTTGAGGCTTTTTTGTGCGTCTTGATATGATACACGTCCCCACCAAATTTCGTGCATGTCGGTCAAACATGCGACGGGGGCTGCTTCGTTAAATGTCACTTCCTCTTGCCACTAGGTGGCGCTATGAATGTGGGTGAATGTCGGCATGTAGATTTGTTCAGGACGGGACTCTTGTCAAATGTGTAAAATTTCGTGTAGAGCTGGGCATTTACAGCCAAGTTACTACAACTTCCTTTCATGGTGAATCATCGACGCCACGGACACGCCCATCGACGAAAACGCGCAGATAGCACAACTTTACATCGTCAATGCCTTTAGAAAGGTACAGCAGAAATTTGAAGTTGATCCGACTAAATCCCTAGGAGGAGTTCGTTAAAGTACGGAGTGTGTAAATCGTCCCAAATCGGTCGCCGAATTCAAATGGCGGACTTCCTGTCGAGTTTAGGGTATGGGTTCTTGAGCTTTTTTGTGCGTCTGGTCATGGTAGATGTACCACAGAAATTTCGTACATGTCGGTCAAAACAAGCGGCGGGGGCTGCTTCGTTAAAGGTCACTTCCTGTTGCCAGCAGGTGGCGCTATGACTGTGGGTGAATGTCGGCATGTAGATTTTGTTCAGGGCGGACTCTTGTCAAAGGTGTAAATTTCATGCATATCTGGGCTTTTACAGCCAAGGTTACTACAACTTCCTGTTCATGGCGAATCATCGACGCCACGGACACGCCCATCGACGAAAAACGCGCAGATAGCACAACTTTACATCGTCAATGCCTTTAGAAGGCACAGCAGAAATGTGAAGTCGATCCGACTAAATCCTAGGAGGAGTTCGTTAAAGTACGTAATGAGTAAATCATCCAAAAATGGCGGTAAATTAGAAATGGCCGACTTCCTGTTGATTTTAGGGCATCGCTCTAAGAGACTTTTCTGTGCGTCTGGACATGGTAGATGTACCACAAAAATTTCGTACATGTCGGTCAAACACGCAGTGGGGGCTGCTTCGTTAAAGGTCACTTCCTGTTGCCAGCAGGTGGCGCTATGACTTAGGGTGAATGTCGGCATGTAGATTTTGTTCAGAGCGGGACTCTTGTCAAATGTGTCAAATTTCGTGCAGATCTGGGCATTTACAGCCAAGTTACTACACTTCCTGTTTCATGGCGAATCTTCGACGCCACGGACACGCCCATCGATGAAAACGCGCAGATAGCACAACTTCACATCGTCAATGCCTTTAGAAGGCACAGCAGAAATTTTTAAGTCGATCCGACTAAATCCCTAGGAGGAGTTTGTTAAAGTACGGAGTGTGTAAATCGTCCAAAAAATGGCCGCCAAATTCAAAATGGTGGGACTTCCTGTCGAGTTTAGGGTATGGGTTCTTGAGGCTTTTTTGTGCATCTTGATATGATACACGTCCCCACCAAATTCCGTGCATGTAGGTTGAACGTGGACGAGGGGCTAATTTTTTTCCAATTTTCTAGGTGGCGCTAGCGTGCCAATTTTGCCACGCCCATCTGCGAAACCCACAAAATACGAAATTTTTTCACCTGTCCTGACATGCGTGCCAAATTTGGTGACTTTTTGAGCATGTTGCGGCCCCGAAAATGGCGCTTACTTTGCAGAAAAAAGAAAAAAAAAAATAATCCTAACAGTTTCAATAGGGTCCTCGCACTGTTAGTGCTCGGGCCCTAATAATATGCTAATATATTTTATAGATCATGAATAGCATATATTTTTACCATTCACGACTCTCGTGGTGGTCTCCGCCTTTTTGAAAAGTTCAAAGGTTATCTCATCTCGGCAACTCGTCCATCAAAATATTCTACGAGTTGCCCAGTGGAAAATACCACATGAGAGGGTGTTCATGTGCATTTTCCACGTCGGCTTTTGGTATTTACCATAATTACCATAGCACATGAACACAGCAAATGTTTCTATGGTAACAGCGAGTTGGACCTATCAGCAGACATTGCTACTACGCTTAGGATTGTGGGTAGTGTAGTTTTTTTTCATAATATTGCGGATAAAACAGGTTTTTCTTTAAACAAGGTTGATTTCATAAAAACGTATAGCTTCAACAGGAGCAAAAACCTTTGTTTCACAACCTCATAGCTCGTGGTCAGTCTACATCGGATGGTTTAGACTGAAATTAGGGCTGATAATCTAAATCCTTACCGAGAAATACTGTTGACCGGAAGTTCTGTATCCCGACTCCGCGTTCTGGAAGCAGGAAGTGTGACATAGGCCTATTATCCCATAATTTACTCACCCTCAAGCCTTTCTTCTTTCAGCCTAACACAATCGGAGTTATGTAAAAAAAAAGAAATTAGCCGTATCCTAATGAAATGATTGTATGCTCATTGTTTAACTGATTTCTGTAGTTTTGGGACATCTCTTTCTGACCTCTCTCACTCTCTCGAATAGTTCCCTGTCCACCTCAGAGAGTGGTGTCTAATTTGCTCTGCTCGTCAAACTCTGCCCATGTGGAGTGGAGTCCCGATACGGGGGCAGAGTCGTATGAGGTTCAAGCCATCACCACGGGTGGCCAGATGACAGGATGCGACACCACAAATACTTCCTGTGTTGTGCCTGACCTTGAATGCGGTTCCATTTACAACATCAGCGTGCTTGCCATTGGCCACAACTGTAATGTGTCAAAGAGTGCGATCACCACACTGCATTCAGGTAGGTGACCTCTAACAAAGCAAAGTTTTCCTCATGAAAGTGACAGCATCTTCCACCCCAATTGTACAATGACCCAAATATCAATTCCCATTTTGTCCCCAGTGCCATGTATTCCCAACCAGATTCAGGCAAACCTGAGCTGTGAATCTGGTGTGGTTGATGTGTCCTGGCAGCCTAGCCAAGGAGCTTTCTCTTACTCTGCTGTCGCTCAGGGCAGCGCGGGCTTTGCGTCATCATGCAACAGCACCAGCACCACATGTGAGTTCACTAATCTACTGTGTGGACTCACATACAGCTTCAGCGTGACTGCCTCCGACCACTCGTGTACCAGCGCACAGAGTCAGAGCGTAGAGCTGGACACAGGTAGGATGAATGTACACACACAATTCACAATTCCTTTTCCCTTCCTATTATTATATTTATGATCTTCTTGTTTGCGATTTAACAGTTCCATGCAAGCCAACGGGAATCATCACTGAAATGGAGTGTGGCAGCCACACAGGTGTAGTGTCATGGGAACAAGGGGAGCACGTTGCCTCCTACCTGGTCGTCGCATCCAGTCCAGATGGGCACCAAACACATTGCAGCAGTCCCAACTCCAAGTGCACATTAGACAGCCTACATTGTGGCCAAGCCTACAACCTCACAATCACTGCCCAGGACAGCCACTGTGACAGCAGAAATGCCCTTTCAACATTACAGTCAGGTTAGGAAATCCCCCCTAATACTCTTTCATCAACATGCTTCCACACAAATGGAGAAAATGACTATTCAATACTAGGGTTGGGAATCGAGAATCGAGTATCGATTGGAACCGAGACTAACTTTTCGTTTTTCCCGGAATCGTTCAAAAGTAAAAATTCCGATTCCTAGTTTCGATATTCACAGTCCCCGCCGAGCGAAGAAGAAACCGCTGAACAACACCAACGAAGAAGCGTCTACCGGAAGTGTTGGCATAACCGCGCGAGTCGAACATGAGTACCTTACGTCGGCGATACCAAAAGTGTGGCTTCACTTTTCTAAAAATAACGAAATCTCGGCAAAATGCAAAATTTGTGACAAAAGGAGTATTTTTAACAGAAGGATTATTTCTTCAGAAAGACCGTATTGGTTAGCAAGGTTAGCTAAACTTTTTTGACCCTGCCTCTTAAAAGAATCGGAATCGAGAATCGTTAGGAACCGGAATCGAAACAAGGAATTGGAATCGGGAATCAGAATCGTTCAAATTCAAAACGATACCCAACCCTATTCAATACCAGACCTGTGCCACCATCAGATTCTACAAATAGTAGGGCTGTGTTCGAAATTCGCCCCCTGTACCCTCATTCCACATATCCCCTACATTACTCCAATAAAAAGGAATTTATACCAGTTTGTTATTACGCTGTAGCCACATTGGATCAACGATTTGTAAAATGGATGGAGGGATGATTCATCTTCCGGCGAGACACAGGAAATCATTTGGCGCCACTCACATTGCATTATGGGTATTCTCTAGCCGTTGAGTGTGCATCAGCTGTACATTCATTAATGCGGTGCATTATGGGACTTAATGAGTGCACTCGAGTCGATAACGTCCACTATGGTTTTGGACACCACTACAAATGGCTGTCCCCTCATATAGTGTCCTATTTAAGTCTATGGGGGCGATTTCAAACACAGCCCAGCTTTTCTGATGTAATCAGCTGATGTTAGATATCTGTCTTCGTT